TCACGCGAGGACGTCGGGCGCGAAGATGACCCCTATGCAGTCGATTCCGAATCGTCTGGCCACTCACTCTCACACCAGTGTCTGTTTTAAGACGAACGCTGATCTGATTTGCTGTGATGACACGATTTCTCAAGGCCAAGGTACGGATAAATCGATCCTGGGCTTGAGTTGTCGCCCTTGGTCGACCTGAGCGTGGTCTGTCCTGTACAGATTGTGTATCAGGGTATCTGGACCATAGTCTGCTTATGACAGACTGAGAAACATTCATCGTCCGCGCCACAACCGCCTGTGTTGTGCCGATCTGTAGCATGCCAAGGGCACGTAACCTTTCATTTTGGGTAAGCCGACGCATATCAAAATTTGTTTTCTGGTCACTAAAACAATTAAACTGATGTTTCCACCCTGGAATTCAATGCCACAATGACTGTAACATTCAAAGTCAGAGTCGTGCAAATTTTGGGTTGGACCCCCATGATGATCCCAAGCATCACCTGCATTCCATGCGGTAGCTATTGGTGCGTTTGGGCGTCACATGTAACTGGAAATGTTTCTTCTGTTTGTTCTATAGTGACTTTTTTCGTAGTCATTTGCATATTTTAGTATTATGCCCCCAAAATCAAATATCCCCTACTTTTTTTGAATAGTATAATACGCAGGGCGACTTTCGGATGTAAACTGTGGTTGCGACTACAGTCTGAACCAGCACCCGAACACAAATGGCCCGGAACATTGGCTATTCAATATGGCGGCGCCCATGTCAGTTGTTTTGCCTGCTATATTTTCTGCTATTTACTCATTTCTAAAACTATATTTTAAACGATGGGGATGAAGAAATGCTTTTAAAACATTTTCGTAAACATGGATCATTTCACAAAGTTTTTTTTTTCTCGTGGGCCTATATATATTCAAATAAGAAGATCTTAATCTATCAAATTCATCAAGAAAACTCGATTAAAAATCAAAGTTGTTAATATCTATACCCTAACTCCCGTTCTCTAACTTCCGGGTGTTACCATGGACCCTGAAATACGGTCCATGGTGTAAATAACGCATTGGCAATCGGCAATTTTATATTTTTTAGATAAATCTACACACGTATCATCCTTTTCAGCCATCCTTGATCTATCCCGACCGTGCCAGAGGTTGAACTAAATGTCATTCGCATGAAGATAGTTCCGACTAGAGTTCGGATATCCGGGCAACCGAAGGTCACCTTGTTCTGGACCATCTAGAGGGGCACAATTTATTTCCAATTTTCTGGATTATGAACTGTGATTGTACGAAAAATCTCGTTTGTAACTTGTGGATCCTCAAAAAGGTAGCAATTTTTATCTTATTTGTAAAATCGTTCAAATATATCAGCGTTACACCATAATTATGGTTGCGTCCGAATTTCCTGAAAATCGGACCGAAACTTCCCATCAAATGGCCGTTCTTCTGTACGCAAATAGTGTAAAAATATGTAATACCAAGGTTGTAACACTTTTTATCCGATTTCCATGAAACTTAAAACGAGTGTTGAGTGAGTTCACGTTTGGTGCGCATCGGACCTTCCGTTCTAGAGTTATGCCAAATGCCTTTTACGCAAAATGTGAAATATGAATGAACTTTGTGGACCTCCCAGAGGCGACAATTTTTGTCCGATTCATGAGATAAAAATTGAACTATGTATTGAGGATCAAAAGTTCTTAGATGAGTTTCACTTTGATACGCATGAAACCATTCATTGTAGAGCTTTAGCCCCTGCAATAGAATGTTATAAAACTCTATCCCGTCGTGTTTTAATTAACCGGGGAGGGGGGGGGTCACGGTGGCTAAGTGAGTAAGACGCTTAATTGCTAGCCTGGAGGTCGGGTGTTCGATCCCTGCATTGACCCAGAAAGTATATCTATATTTTCCCGCGTGGTTCCCCCCTTGTTAATGATGCCGGTTGGTGGGTCTGACAAAGAAAGCTGTCTAGTCGTTCAGATGGGACCAAAAACCGAGGTCTCGTGTACACATTGGTGTGCACGTAAAGATCCCATGACAGTTGGAATTCGGTATAAGAGTAGGCCGTTGTGCCGCTGTCCGGGCCAAATTTCCCTCATAACACACTGTATGGCGTATGCCCGTCTTCATTAGCCCAGTTCGGAGCAGAACAGAAGGACGTTAAACCCCATTTCATTTAATTAGCCAATGAGATGGAATAAAATATTCGACTGGTCAGTAAACCTGGAGAAAAGGGTACTTGCGGCCAAATTATCAGGAGGGGGGGGGGGATTTCCCTAGTTTTCAGGCCTGTCCGAAAAATACACGGTTCCTGTCTTGTACCAGTGACAACAAGAACAAATGCTAGAAAATCCTGGGGTATTTGCTTGGCCAACATTAGGTAGGATCTAATTACCCACGACCTCCCGGTTAGTGGACCAGCATCTTCCTAATTGAACCATCATGGCTCCTGATTTCTGTACTAACCAGGCTGATGAAGACAGGCATACGTATGGAAGCCGATAGGTACTCTTAGTTCCTTCTGAACTTCACATGCTAAGCCGAGAAGCTGCGTTCTATTGTGGGTTCACTTCCCTATGAGGTTCAGCGCAAAGGCATTGAATAATTGGTACGATTCAAGAAACTTCTTAATTTCGCCTTGTTCATTTCTGTCCTTTGTGCTGTTAACGCATATCAAAGCTATTCGCAAGAAATAAAGAAGGCGAAGCAGAGAAGTGACTGATTAATTTTTGCCTTTTGCCTACGACCTACCCTTATTATTTTGAATACCAACGGATCTCCTGGTTAGTAAGGCAGCACCTTACTGCCTGAGTGGCGGGATGCAGAATATTTTGTTGGGGGTAGGGTGGGGGATCCCCACGTCACCCCAAGCAACAAAAAAATCAAATTTACATGTTTCGCAGAAACACAATAATAAGTGAATTTCATACGGTTTTTGATGTGGGGGTGGGGCTAGACATCATACTGCCTGAGTGGTGAGCACATAATATTTTGTCAGGTGTGGGGCATCTTACATCACCTCAAGCAGCAAAAATTTCAAATTTACTTATTTCGTTGAAACACAATAATTTGTGAATTTTATGCTGTTATTGGTGATGGGATGGGGCTAGGTACCCCACATGGATCCGCTACTGATCACAAGTAAATATAACATAGGCCTACGACAGATCTCACGAGTTAAAAAATTTGGCCACATCAGCTAAACCACCAGCATACATATTATATTATAGTTCTATGCATTTATAAGAGATAAATTGTGACTAGTTTCGTTCATATTTTACTCTTCAGACTAATTGAACTCCCTTGTTATCGTTTGTTTACATATCAACGATTGGCTAATTAAGACACGTGACCAGTACCTATGTCCAAATATGGTTTAAAGAGTAAGCTTCCACGGTAAAATAATCCGCCAACTGTGAGCTCAAAACAAAAATACTGCTGTGTTAGAACCTCAGAACTATCGATATTTTTATTCAGAATACATATTAGTCAACGCAAAGATCTTTTACATTTCCTGGCCCTGGAGCAAAATGTTTTTTTTCTGATAACATTATTTGGTGTCAGCTACTGGCCTATTTATGACAGTGTCAAAAATATTTTACACCTTGTTCGAAGGCCCTCAAGATCTTTAAACCCCAGTCTTCAGCCTGCCAAGCCTATGATGGGTAAATCCGTCACTGTGTCCAGCATTCGTTTCTTATGGCATCAAACTCAGTAAATCGTACTTGTTTAATGAAGCAGTCTTGTGTCTAAGATGGCAGACGTAGCTAATTAGATCTCTATGTCTCATTATTGTTTAGTATTTGTCGATAGTCTGTCAACAATGGTAAAGATAATATGGCCGACGGACCACCTATTATTACCGTATTTTATAAATTGTAGATATGTTCTGTGCTTATCACGTTGTTTGCTTTTTGGTTGTCTCGCCCCCCCTCCCCCGCCCCAGCCTAAACAATTAACGCTGACGGAGGATAATTTGGAATTTAATCTTATGGAGGCATTTATGCTATAATGAACTAGACGTCTTGGTGATAAGTTATATATCTATGATGATTGTATTTCTCACAATTTTTAATTGGACAACATATTATATGAACATGAATTCTTATTGGGGAGAATGTCGTGCAAGCTTAAAGGCTCAATACCACTCTTGTTGTAACTGAATAATATGTCCCAATCTTTACTCTGGTCAACAAATTGTACTATTTTACAATATTCCAATTAATTGATGATACAAATTTCATCTTAACACACCTAATTTAAAAAATTGGAAAAATTCAACTAAATGATTTGAAAAGCCTGACGTAAAGCTTTTCAAATGTGAATTGGATTTTAAAATATTTTTGAACCCTCTGGACTAGTAAAATAGGATTTAATGGATAATTTACACAACAGGTAAGACAATAACACATCTAGTACTTAGAATAAGGCTATTTTTTTTTATTTTCTGGAGCTGTCAAGCCGGCAAGAGTGTTATTGTCCCTTTAATCTAAAAATATGAACCATGTCTTCTGTTCTGACGGTTCACTGTATATCAAATTCAATCTTAAGCATTGCCAGGAAACCCTAAATATACGATCAAAATATTTCAGTCAAGGCGTGGCTCGTATAGTCGTTCGGATGGAACAAGAAAACGAGGTCCAGTGTACATATTGGCGTGTACGTAAAAGAACCATTTACGGTTGGAATTCGAAATAAGATTAGGCCGCAACACCTTGTCCGGGCATAAATGCCATCACAGCACACTACATAGCACATGCCTGCCTTCATTTGCCCAGTCGCTGAAGACAAGTAGGACGTTAAACCCCATTTCATCATTTTCCATTTCTGTCATAACCCCTTCCAATATAAATATTCTGAATTCCGATAAAGATATTCAAAACAATCTAAACAACCTCTTTAAATCTGAAAATAGTGACCCGCACATAATTAATACACCTATGTAAATTTGCATAACATGTATAAGGGTACATGCGAGCCGGATATTAGTCTACAAAACAAGTTGTACTCACCGTTTGTTTCCTCGGAAGGTTCAAAATGTCCAGGTAGCTTGAAACCCAGAATGCCACCCTGAGATAAGTTAAGGTTGAGATTACCCAAATTCATATTTCAGAGTTATTTTCAAACCCCAAATTTACACGATTATTCCTGAAAGTTCACATAACACCGAGTTAAGTTCTGTTCTCTTATATCTGTTAGTTTATAGTTGTCCTCCGTCCATTCATTAATCTTGTTTATTGATGAATTATGATTAAAGTTACTGTTAATATAAATGATGCCGTTCAAGTGTATAATATGATGATATCACGTAATCTAGATTTTTGACACAGATATCCATAGGCTTATTACTTCTATCTGAAAAACAGAATTACATGCTTAATAAAATAGATTACCGATGGTTATTAGTTCTTTATAAAGATCTCCTGTAGTTTAATTGGTTCTCCAAAACACAGACTTCGCTTGAGTTTGCAAATGGCCGCGTTTACCGTGTCTTAAAGGTTCAGCTCAAAGTATTAAATCGTTTGAATAATGGTCGCCACAATGTCACTTTTTGAGCTCTCGCCTCCAATTTATCAATGATGGATGCCTAGTTGATCGGGAGGGTTCATAAATCGAGGTCCCTTGTATACATTGACGTACACATTAAAGAACCCTTGACAATTAGAATTCGAAGTAAGAGCAGGTCGTTGCCTGGCTGTCCGGGCAAAATGTTCCCCATAGAGCAGAACGCATCCACAACCTGCACAGTTCTATTACTTAATGGAAAACAACAAGAACTAAAGCACAGCGGTAAGTTGTCACTTGCGATCGCTTAAGGTATCGACGCATTTACTGCTAGATAAGGGGGGGGGGGGCGAATGGTTAACGCTTGCGCGTTGCATCATAAGGTCTGTCATTTACCCCGTTTACATTACAAATTTTAAGCGTGCCAGCCACGGCACGGTTAATTTTTTTGTGTTGTAAACGGGTCAAACATTAAGCGTACCGTACTGAGTACCGTGCCAATATGGCCCACTGAAGTGAGGTGGTCTCGGCACGGTGCCAGGAACGGCACAGTTAAATATTCGTAGTATAAACGCTATCTCGTCTGAGAACGGTTCTCTGTACGGATTACTGCGCATGCGCCAAATGGACTTTGACATTTTTCCCCGCAAACTTCGACAGTTTTGTCATCAGTTCTGTCAAAATGGCTGCACAAACTAAATCAACCGTCATAATTGTTTTCATCTGGGTAATTTGCATAGGGACTGAAATTAACTTTTCTGTGACGAGTTCCACACTTGGCGTACCTGGCACCGTTCCGAGACCGGTTATTTTAGAGTATTGTAAACGGGTCAATTTCTTGAAATTTATCGCGGCCTGGTACCGCGGCCAAGTGTAAACGGGGCGATTGAGTCAAGTGACGTGGTTTCGATTCCCCGCTTGTACGTGGCAAGGAGTAGGGTCGCCTGTCCTCACACTGCTAAAGACACTACACGCATGTGTTGGTCCCGAAATGACATGGTTTGTGTCGAGTGGACGTTAAATTCTCTCTGTCTCTCTCTCTGTCGCTCTCTCTGTCTCTCTCTCTCTCTCTCTCTCTGCTAGACAAGAAACTCACCCCACTCTATCCGACAACGGACATAGACCTGTATTTCTCTATTCTCAAATCAAGTGTCCTTCAGATAGACTGCTGGATACTAACATAAAGAGTTTTAAGAGCCTTTAATTCAGATTTCACCTTTAAAGATTACATTATACTGGTTCAAAAATAGATTACTGAAAATGAACATATTGAAAATTTCAGACAAGTTACTTGATTCTGTGCGAGGTAAGCGTGTTTGAAGTTTAGACAAAATGTTGCGTAGGCTATATTGTTTATTATAGTAGCAACGGTACTTGACAATCGAAACTATCTGTTTTATCTATTATCTAAATCTACTTAAAATCGGGGTCATCCGATGGCCCAGGGAGTTGATGATTGACTCGTCATGTTAATGAATGTATAAATAAAAACATATATTTGAAGCCCGAAAATAAACGGCAACGGGCAGATTTAGCTCTTACATAATCCATCTTTAAACTAAGACCAATTTTAGCTTGCTCTGTCTAGATTTCTTGAACATATGAAACTTAATCAAATTGCCGCTTCTGTTTATCCCCTTTAATATTTGAGATTTAAACCTAACATCACAATTACGTCAACTAAGGACTAATGAGTTGTCAGAATGATGAACTGCAGCGCCTCAAGTTTTGTTATCCTGGGGATTTTCAGGATTCCATTCTTATAATCCTTAATTAATTAAATGCAAAAAATAAAGTTCTTATATTCTTTAAATACAAGCATAATCGTCGTAAACCAAATACCAAAAGTAATGTTCTTTAAATACAATAAAATTTAAATAAAGGTTTTGCAATCTTAAATAATCCAACAGAAAATTCGTAAATACTGTAATAGATTAAATTTTAAAAAAATAAGTTCTAACACTTTATAGTTTTGAAAATTAAATGAAGTTAGTGGTCTGGGTTATCTCAAAGACTTCTGGTGAGTAGTGAAAACAACTAACTGGAAAAGCTAATAGTACGAAGAACATCCCAGGGCAAAATATCTAATCTGGATTTTAATATTAGAGACCAATGCTTATTTCACATGACTTTAGATATTAAAATGGTCTTAGATAAGCAAGGTTCCAATCTATCCATATAGTCAAATCCTTAAAAGTGCTGTTCACAGATTGTCATTTTTAGTACTGTTAGTTGTAGGGCAAATGTCCCAAGTCGCATAATTAGATAAACATCACACGTACAAAGCACAGGTAGTGCGCAACCCAAAACTCCACAATGGTTTGCTGAAATTAACCAAAATCTCGTATCCAGTCAGTGCTTTAGATTCTTTTAAGAAATGCCCTGATTATTCTTCTAAGTTATTAAGCTGTTTATCTAGTGTACAGCTTTAATACTCATCATCATCAGGATTACACATGTCAACATGTTCAGAGATAATCCGAAAACATAGCCACTTTGTCATCTTAGCTTAATTAGTTGTATCGTCGAAAGGCATAGCTATTTTTAATGGTTTGTAAAAAGTGACTTCTAGGGAGATTAGTAATGAAGTCAAGACCCTCGGGTGTCCTTTATAACGTATCCTTTGAGACCACGTCACTGTCCACCCGTTTGTTAAGCCACTGAATAGAGCCGTCGATGCCGACTGGACTCCCACGGACGCTTTGTTTCCGAACCCAGCAAAATGATCCTTTCGTTCGCAAAGACAAATTTCCTGTCGTAATAGGCTGGGTCCAACCATTTGGATATAATTCCAAATACGTACATATTAAGATATAACAATATCTAATAGTTTTGAAAAACAGATGTTGTTTTGACATATTCACATTTATTGTGGACGTATAATATCGGCACTCGTCTGTCTATCATATGTTCATCCGACCGTCCACATTATGTTAATGCGATAATTCAGATGCTAATAAATGAGGAAATTACACTAATTGTGTTTATAACATTGGTAAACATATAGAGATGAGAAGGAAGACTGGCTAGCTTTAACAAAATAAAATAACACTAATTATATCACACGTCAAGTCATCCTTAAAGATTCCACATGCCTTCAAACTTTATTCAATTATTTCATTTCCTGTTTACTTTCAGTCTACAAGTCCGATTCTTCCTAGAATACCCAGCTTAATAATGTCTCTGATTTCAAACCCATGGAACTACATTAATCTTTACTCTGTTTGGACTTGTTAGAACACCTGATACCATTTATAAATAGACGGCGTACACCTAATGCAAATTTCTAATGGTTTGTCATTCGTTAACTACCGAGTTAATACACAAATGAAAAGTCATATTTCTTTAAGATTCTCCCTCATAATTCTTAAGACATGCCTAAAGGTCTAGTAATTGGAATAATGAATAATAGGTGCAGCTTGCTCAACCGTTTATATCATATTTGTTACCTAGATGACACAGATTTTTGTTCATGTAAGAAGTTTACTTAGCTGAAGAAATTCGGTATATTTAATATTTTTCTCAAAATTAAGGTTACATTTACACATATTTTATTTTGGTGATAGGCAGTAACATCTAGAAATGTGTCATCAGCTGACAAAAGAGTGCAACTACGGTTTCTTTTTTTCTATCTTTGTATTGAATATAAGCTTAATGTTGTGGTTGCAAGAGATCACTCCATGTCACATAGTTTGATTTTTCACCGCGAAGGTATGTAAGTTATTTGACAATAACAAATACGTAGATGAATAAGACTGTCAAAACACACATTAATCATCTGGGCTACCATGTACATGACAGAGAGAAAGAACTTTATAAAGCAGTCACTACTAGAGGGTATAATGTCATTTCACGATATTATAGTAAATCTTGGAAGCAACATTTATTACACATGGTATCAAGGCCGCATTTACTGTTCGGCCCTGACCGTTTTTTGCTCTTCGGATCTTACTTTCTTAAATGTCAATGGATACGAGAATATGACCACCAATGACATCGCTAGTATTAAGCGAACTTGGGTTAATATAGCTAGAAAGACTTGTCAAAGAATAGTCTAGCTTTCTGTAATTTCAAAGCAATAACGTTGAAAATGTTGGGTATTTCCCATAGGACATCGACAGTTAGTGCGCTAACATATATTACGGCATAATGTACCCGACAAATTCTATTATTATTATTTTATAGAATAATACATGCGCATAATTTTGGTAGTTATGGATGTCCGTACAGTTAAAGGTAAATTAAACTCTTTCACAAAGGTATTCATACTATTACACCACGTGTTTGATTCGGATAGATTACATATTTGACATATCGGACCTGACATTTTGAACTGTGTTTTGGGCATAGAAAAAGGCAAATCAGTGCCAGAAAAAAAGACAGACACCAGAGCGGTGGTGCCCGAAAAAGCCTGATTGTGTGGCCTGATAGGCAGGTGCCTTATTTAAGGGTTTCTTCATACTCAAAATGTATCAAGAATGGATAAAAACTGTAGAACTTTAAATATAAAATAATTAATGAGCACTGCTATATATTGACTTTTGTTTTTAAATGCTAGTTTATGCTAGTTTGGAACTGTCCATCTTCGTCATGAAATATCTCAAATCATAATTTATCTAACACGGCATTGTAGTTCACGAAGAGCTTGTATTTCAAGTTGCGCCGAAATCTTCGATTTATCAAACACGGTTTCGTGGATTAATTAATGTTGTTGGGAAATAAACTAATATATTCCCAATTTTATATTCAATAATATTATATGAAAATTGTGAATTATGAACCACCCTGATTATTGCATGTAAACAGTGTATTCAATTCGTGTTCAATACAATTGTACCAATTCAACTTAT